GAAACATTCTTTCTGATTTCTTCCTTTCTCTTTCTGATGTCTTTACTTCTATTGTCTTTTCCTTATTTTTTTACCCCTCTTTCAGTGCTGAGCCATGACCCTGTCACTTGTTCAATGCGTTTCCAGATAAAGTACCTTTGTTCTCCCTTTTGCTTCCTTTACGTTTTGTTTTGGAGAGGCGCCTTAGAAGCACCCCAAAATAAATCTAACTTTCTTCTTTCACTTGCACAAAAAGTCAACAGCAATAAGCTTCTGGTTTCCTGAGATTACTTCTGTCTATAGCGGTCAATACTTGTTCAGTGTTTCCTTGCTGTTTTCATTCTTGTTTAGATTGTAAGCAATTTGGATCAGAGACCTGACTTTTTATTACAATTACTGAAGAACTAGGACAATTAAATCTTGGCTTGTACTTAAGGCTCCTAGTGAATCCTAAGCTGTTGATAACAATTCAGCAAAGTGAAATTCGTCTTCCTGTATAGGGTGTGTGCTACAGCCAGTGTGAATCCCTAAAAAAGATAAGTATTTACCAATGAAACATATACTGATGACTTCAGGTTGTCCACTAATCTTTGTAATTGGCATGAAAGCTAGGATGGCTGGGAGTCAAAATCCTATCTTTTTGGCTTTGCGTGTGTTCTGCTGATTACCTGCCTAATGAAGTAAGAAGGCAGGGCAATCTCTCTGTGTCATCCTGCAACCATGTCAAGTTATTCACAAAACCTCTCTCTGGGAAAGCAGGTTGGAAACATCTAGGTGAAGATTTTCTTTTCAGTATGAATTTGCTGCTTTGTGGAAACCTAAGGATGTTACAGGAGGAGATCAGTGTCAATGAATTTACTACCTTTAAAATAATGTGGAGAAAAAAAAAAAAAATGAAGTCGTCCATGATCATTCTAGCTGTTTCCAGAATGAAAGACTCCAAGCCTTCCTCTTGAAAGTGATACTAGTTGCACCAAGGCAATTACAGAGAATATGCTGTTTACATTTAAGTATTTATGCCATTTTTGTTTGAGTCAATTTTGAGCTATGAAAATTTAAGACTTTGAATTTTGTTTTGTTTTTTTTTAATAAGAAAAAGTTTAATTCTGCTACTTAGTAGAACTGGATCTTATGAATTCTACTAAACAGAGTGGCGAAAACTAGATTTGCTGCAGTTACGTGAATATACTTCTTTCAGTACAGGAGCTTATTCCTGCCAATGGGAAACTGTCAGCGACATCGATTTTTCTTCTCTGTTCTGGTCTTCTGTTTTGATATTCTCAGACTGATTTGTCTCATCTGCACCTCTTTTCAAAAGCTGCTTTACCAAAGCTGTCCCTTGTTCCAAGCAGACCTCTCTGTCTTTTTTTGCTTTGGGTAAGGCCATGTCCACAGTGTACTGACTTTGAAGATTGCCGTTATTTTAGCTACCAGCTTCAATACAGGAGATGAATTATAGCCATCCTAAAGGAGTGGCAGGAAATTGCAGCATAACTGGGAGCTACTTCCATGTTATGACCGTGAGATAATGGCTGCTATGATAGGTAGTGTACCTTCCACATGCAACTGAAGCTGTGGCCATATGATGTTTATGTGACCCTCCCTCCCATGGTATTCATCACTTCTGATCCAGGGGAGGCTTCAGATCCAAGGTGGGGAAAAAAGAAATGCACAATTAGGAATTAATTATTACTAAATTTAAATTGATGGAGAAAAAAATAATACAAAATTGGTATTAAAGGCTTAGCAAGTACAAGCACACTATTTAGATACCATTCTCTCCAAGTAACTGTCACATCGTTAGGTTTTTTCAGAGTCCAATACTGTCTGAGACTCTCCTGAGCAGAAATACTTTAGACAACAATCATGGTAAACAGGTTGCAAGTCTCAGCTCCAGGAGGGTGTGCTGTCCTGCAGTAGGTCCAGACTGCATGCTGATTATTCCAGATCTGTATAACCCCGTGATCCAAATCCCCTGTACCACTTGGTCATTGGGTTAGAGTAGGATCCAGAACTGAGTGCTGTTGTACCAGCAACATGGCTAGTGTTCGCACGCATGCAACCTTCAGCGTGGGGTTTTTGCAGAGATATAAATTACAGTTCATCGGCCGTGAGTCTTGGGAGCTGAGTTCCCTGGGGACTGATTGCCAGGGGCAGGGTGGGAACTGCTGGGATCTGTCCACAGGAAGCGGAAAGAAATCAGAAAGCAGCCAAAAAACTGGGAGGAGCAGTCAAGAGCATGGCCCGGAAAGGTAATGGCAAAAGGACTCCGCAAGATGCAGGGCAGAAAGCAAAACTGGAAATCGTGTATGATTAATCTACTTGCTGTTTTCTCATTGTGTTGTGGAAACTTGACTTTATAAACTGAATTGCACCAAAGAAATATCTGGTTTGTATTATCAATCTTAGTCTCCAAATGGAAACAAGTCAGATCAAATGTCAAGATTTTTTATTCTTTTAAGTGCCATCATGTTTTACTACATCTTTTGATATGTCTCATAACCATTTTCTTTTTCTTCATTATAAATTGCTCGTTTTGCCAAAAAGTGTTTGTTACTGGATCAGAAAAGCTTGACTGGCTAGTAAGGAGGGAATTCTTCCCAGTAAATTTTCCTTCTGGATAGAGCGCGCCTTTCCATTGGAAAAAAAGAGAAAATTTCTGAGAAGTGTTCTGAAGGACAGAAACAAATTTTAATCTAAAGAATATTTATGGTTTTTGATAGGGAAGGAAATTTTATAATGCACAATATTACAGAGAAATTCAGATCTGTAATTCACACTTTAATACAGATACAATATTAATGTTACAGACTGAGGTACTTCTGAGGTTTTTCTGGACTGTCATTTCTGAAACTGCCTAGAGAAATGGAAAGACTTTCTGATTTTTGTCAGTATAATTATACGGCTCTCAAAGGATTTGCTCCTGTTTTCACCAGTCAGGAGACAAGTGGTAGACTCACAATACACAACAAATAAATTCCACTTCCTGCCTTCAGATCTCTCAGTCAGAGAGATGGAGAAGGATAATGGAAAAAAGCACTCAAACAAAAGAGTGAAAGTCATGTTTGGTCTTTTTGGAGAAAATGAGAGTGGAGCCGCTCTGATAGGGGCTGTAATAAGAGTTGTTTCAAAGGGGAGGGGTGGCAGGAGGTGGGACATTCACTCTGGCAGATTTTGATTTAAACCTGAACACAATGGTGAGGCACCTGTTGAGAGCTGAAAGCTTTTCTAGAGATTTTGGTGCTAATTGTCGCCTCGCAGCTGGAGGATTATGTGTAACCTGAGCAGTTAGCACTGAAGTTCTTATAGCAGCCTTGACAAGTATTGAAGGGAAAAGTTCCTCTTTTTTCTACAGTTAATACCACAAAATGGTGTTTTATAAAGTTTGTCTTTAATCTTACCTTGCCGTGATGCCCATTCAAGATAGAGGACTACAATCTGCAAGTAAAGCCACTGTAAATGCAAGGATGTTGTTTTAACTTCAAAAGCGACTGTAATTCTACTAAATATTATATCATATACAGAACTGAATCAAAGCTTCCATTCTCTGTGCTATAGACCCATGTGGTTTTTTTTCCTCTGTATTTCAAAAATACCTTCCATTGTATAAACATACTTAATCTAAATTGATCCTCTGTTGCCTGGAACTGCGGAGCTAATAGAACAAATGAGAGTTCATTTTATGCCTATGTAAGACTCCATTCGCTTCACTGAGCCGTACTGGGATCAGTGTTTTTGAATATGATGTGAATTCATGCTTTTTTTCCTTGTCACAAGAAAACAGAAAGCTGGTTTCATGGTATCAGCCTTTTATCAATCATCTGAAGACAGGCAATAGAAAGCATGCCTAGGGTAATTGTAATTGGATGGCATACAGAAGGAAGAGCTGCACATCATGAAATTAGACTCTTAAAACCTTCTTCTTCTTCACTTACTCATAACTCAAAGTAACTGTGGAAGTTTCTCAAGGTTCACATTAAAAAGTGGTCATAGATGACCAATTAATTCAGTGCAAATTTGGAGTTCTTAATTTACTATTGCCTAGACTCTTTAACAATAAAGAAATAAATAAAAAGTAACCTTTTAAAATACTTCTTGCATGAGCACTGCAACATATGTTCTTGGAGAACATTAGATATGAGCTACTTTACAATAAAACCAAAACAGTTGCATTCATTATCTGCTCTACTTTTTCCTAATGTAATCAATCTGTATTAAAAAGTCATTGTGGAAAATGAGAAAAATAACTAATGAATATTGTTTCCTCCAAAGTTCTGTCTTTGAAAGATGTTGTGCACATATACAAGATGTAACTATTTGTTAGGAGTATGAGAATTTTGGCAATGTTTAAGACATTGCAGCATTGGATTAAAACACTAAAAAATTGCATTGGACTATCTTGTCTCTCCCCTTGATAACACTGAATTGTTCTCTGAAGTTGCTTTATTTTCTGTACCATACAGAAGTGCTTCAATTTCAGGACTATGACTAGTTCAGCTCCTGTCCAAAAAAAATTCTGGATTTCAGTAGTTTTCTATTCATTTGCTTAAAAACAAGAACTACAAAAGAGAAAGTTTTTATTTTTATAAGCCAAAGAAATAGCATTGGGTTGCATATGTGACAGAACTTGCACTCGTAGCCTGAACACCCTGCAGGTTGTTTTTTTTTTTTTTTTTCTCCTTTGTAAGGTTTTCAAAAGGGAAAGTATCCCAGCCTTTACGGCATTAACTAATATTGAATTATCTTATTTAGGTTCAAACCTAGTAATGAAGACACAATTTCTGCAGTGAGGGTGTTGACTTTTTACAACTTACTGATGGAGAAAGTAGTAGCACCTGAGAATAATGAGTACCAAAGAAACAAAACTACTGCGTACTTCAGCTGTGGCTTCTACAAAGGTAAGATGCAAATCCCTCATCAGAAGTGAAAAAGTGAAGAGCTTATCTTGAACATTTCAGTGAAAGAACCATAATTTCTGCAACTAACTTAGTGACTTTTTTGTTTGTTTGTTTATACTATTTGGAAGGGTAGAATGCATTACTTGTAGTTGTCATCCAGTGAGCTCTAAACAGCTTCCTTGAAAATGCAAAAGTTTTCTCGTTTGACTGCTTTATTTTATTGTTTGTGTTCAGTAATTTCCAGTGGATTACTTGCAACTTGCTAAATGGGTAGACATACTTTCACTGTTCACATAAAATGGAGTATTCTTCAGTGGGATAGTGATAAATCAAAAGGAAAAAATCATTTCAGTATGGAAATTACATCAACTTGTATTATTTTAGCTCAGCACGGTTGCAAATATAAATCTACTAAAAAGAACCAGCAAAAAGATACATATATATACACAACATTTTTAAAAGGCATAGTCACTTGCCTGTATTGAAAGCTGCTAATCTATAGGCCTGGAAATACTTAGAACTTTTGTATTTTTGAACGATTGACTAACTCAAAAAAAAGAGTGGTGAAAGGAAATCTTCTTGTTGAAGAAATGTAAAAGTAAGATTTTTGGCAGGCCGCTTTGGGTGATGTCATTCTACAGAATGTGCTAAAGTCTGTTATTTTACAGCAGGAACTGATTTCTCAAGGCAGGCAGAGTCTATGGGCACTTAGTGTTGCTCTCAACTTTAGCCAGCCAAGATCTGTGCTTTTTTACACCTCGTTTGATGGTAATAAACCATGTACGCTTTTAAATACGGGGCTGAAAGGCTTTTTTCATATATATACACACACATATATGTATCTATATATGCTTGAAGTCTTCTGCACACTATTTATTGTGTGGGTTTACCTCTTGGCTGAAGATACGCTCATTGCTAGTGTGGAGTATTCGTTGCCTTCTGTACTGGGTTCTGGCAGATGAGAACACTAAAAGTAGACTTGCATTTGGGAAGGCAGGGAGAGCCTTTTTCCTTCCCGCCCCCCCCTACTGCCAGTTCCTTGTGAGGTGACAATTCCTTGCTGTTTCTCCCCAGATGCTTGCTAATACTCAGTCAATAGGATATCAGAGTAGCTCCAGTTCAGTGTACGTTTGCTTTTTCATGAGTGAAAATAGGTCTCGGCTCTGAACCACGCTAACTTGAGTGCAAACCGTTGGTAAACTGCAAAGAGCTGTACTGTATGTAAAGCATTCAGTAGTAAAAGGATTAGGTTCTGTTGAAATTATCCAAGAGGGAGCATGAATCGGGTGGTCTTTGGAGGGTTTAAGGATTGTCCTGTTAAGGGCCAATAAATGTAGTTCACTCGTGTGCTAACATAAGGGAGTATTTCTATTTGTTAGACTTTATGTGACTCCTTTTATGATACCACCTGCTCTATCCCATCTATTTGGACCGCTGAGCCTAGTCATGTAGTATAGGTACTTTAAAACAAAATTGTAAAGAATACGGCTAGTAGCAGAGAATACCCGGGGCCTGATTCTGGAGAAATTTTTTGGACTGCCAAGGGAATAACACATCACTTGGGATAAATTAGACTGGCCTTACGATTATTGCATCTGAAAGAAAAAATGCTGAGTACCTTTCACTTAGATTCTTTTCCTTTTGCATTTTACTTCTGGTGAGAAATACCACTGCGATAGTCTAAGTTAAGTCTTTTGTTTCTAGGAATATATTAAAATAACGTTTTATTAATTGAGATTTCGGTGTCTACTGTCTTCTGACCAGGTTTATTTCTTATTCTTGTTTACTAGCGTGAAAGTATTGATTTGGTACCTAGTGGTGCAGGGGCTTTCTACATCCACTAAGGAAAATCTGTTTGATTAATGTCTGGAAAGGAAATCCATTAAAGCCTCTGAAGTTTTATGAAGTCTTATGAAGTCTTATTGCTGTTAACAGAGTATTACTTGTTCTAAGCTTGGTGGACACTTCTTACTTTAAAAATGGCATTTATATAATGTTATGTATTCTTAAGATAAGTTGGTTGGTCCTGATACTAATACTGAAAAGACTATTTTGGAAGATTTGTGTCTGTAGGCAAATTACACTAACTCTTTGGCTGTGGAATCACAAAAGAATAGCAATTTTATTATAGGCACACGTGGCTCAGCTGCCTATTATTAAGTTTGCCTGACACATACCATCAGAAGATGTTTTCAGCTGCTTAATATATTTCCAAATATTAACTATTTGGGCTGACATTTTGCATGCTAGTTGTCCATTCGACTCTGATTTTTTTTTTCTTTTTTTGTATTTTTAAAGCGTAAGCAAAAACAGGTCTGCCAGTTCTGTGCCCAAGACTAAAGAAAAATGTTATTTATTTAGTGCTAAAAAATTCTAGTGTGTTCTGGGGTTTTTTTGTTTGTTTCCCCCCCTCATGTTTTTGTTTTTAAATTCTAGCAGTTCTTTGTTCTGATATAGAAAGCTGACATTTGCTTTTGTGTTAGAGATGTAACCTTTCCTTCTCAGTGAAAATCTGCAGATACTTGGCCAAGCTGTAAGTGTGTGTTGTCCCCTTTCGTAGCGCTATACATCAGGGATGGCTCTATACTGTTACTATCAGGTACTCAGCTCAAATGGCAGAGGTCTGTGTGGTAGATGTAAAGGCTGTAGCTGATGATGAATCGTGCAGGTGCCAGTACGATGCCACGTGGGAGACTTTGTTTTTGTTTTGTTTTGGTTTTTTTTTTTCAGAATATAACATTGAAAAAACATTAAGGTTGCAGATTAGAGCACATAAAAGTTATAAAATGCTAAACAAAACATCTTCCCGTCCCCTTGTACGTATGTGTGCTTTTTGGCGTACATACATTCAATCTACCTTTTTTTTTTTTTTTTCTTCCATGACTGATGCTCGTTAAGGTGCCCCTGAGGGGCCTGCTTTGAGGAAGAGACTGTGCAGATATTGAAGAGCTTAGTTTTCTGCAGGGTCCTTGCCTCGCTTTTGGCAGCTGTTAGAATTGATGGATAGGCCTGACGGGGGCTGCAGAACAGGGATCATCTCTTGGTAGCGGGATGAACACTGTCATCAAGAAATCAATTCCGTGCTGATGCCGACCATCGTGGTGTTTTGTGTCGCTAGGTGAGGCGTACAAAGCAAAGTGGTTGGGCTGTCAGAATTTGCGTGGTGGTGGCTTTCTAGGTACGTGATTTGAGGCTGCCACATACAAGTGCTAAGAAAGGTGTACAAGTCTGACTAGAGCAAATCAACAGGAGCTATGTTTTTGATATGTAGGTACTCTGAAAAATATGGTCCTGGGCATCTTGAATCAGTTCATTAAAACTGCTGAACATTTTTGACCTTGCTATGCTTCAGTGTCTTGTTTGAAAGTATCACTCATTTAAGTGAAGTGGTTATGAAGATTAATTAGGGTACATGAAGCATATGTGGTGGAAGGCGTAGGGAATCCTTCTATAATGGTGCAAAGCGTATCAGGACATTGATTTTTGTCCTGAGGGAAGACTTCAGACAGATTACAGCAGAGGAAGTCTATGTCAAGACTTGAACAATGGAGATAAGACAAAAATTTGAATAGTTGTTCTTCACATCCTCCATTTGAGTCCTGGATAAAGAATGGTTCTCGGATAATTTTAAATAATGTTTAAAAATGGCTATAAATGCAAAAATGGTTTTGGCAATAGTGAAAGTTTCGGACTTCATAACAGTGCAAAATTTTAGCTGATTCTGTTTCAAAGTAGTTATCAATACTCTTCTTTGGTACCGTGAGCCATTTAACGTTGGATATACTTGTCAGGTGCTGAGGGTGTGATTTAGTAAGGGACAAGTCCCTACCAGCAGGGTCAGTTCCCAGTGCCACGGGAGTACTCCTTGGCTGTTATTACCAAAGTAGAAGTTTGGAGCTCTGTGCCTGGTGTTGTCCAAATACCTATACTTTTTAAATGTGATTAACCTCAGCAAGTCTGAATTAACAGAATGGGAAAGCATTGTTTATGTTACAACTGCTAGACCTTCCTAATAAAAAATAAATCCATGTATATTTGAAATATAAAAGGCTTAGTACCTAATCGCAAAATGTAAACAGTAAGTATAATGGAGGCGTCTGTAATTATTTCATGTATTTCTTTTCATGTGTATGGTCATATATATGTACGACGTGTCTGAATGTTTCAATGCATTCTTGAAATACACTCTGCCTTCTGCAAATTATCTCAGTAGCAGCTGCTGGCTGTCGCGCAAGCCAGGCATGGTGGGGTAGAGTAAGATTCTTCCCTTTTCTCCATGAGGCATAATTTTATTAGGCTGTATTGTAAATCATAGGGATGCCTGCTGAGTACGCTCTGCAGTTATGATTTTTTTGGTTATTGCTGAACAGAACTAGGATTTTTTTTTTTTTTTTTTTTTTTGCTTTAAAGTTAAAGCTTTCAAAGTTCAACTGTATTGAGCTATTTGTATGTGAACAACTGGTAGTCAGAAGAGATATTAGCACTGATTTGCTGGAAATGCCTGTTGATTGCTATCTAACAAAGACCCAGTTAAACTCGGGAGTGTCGTACGACAACCTCAGGGATTTGTAGGTTATTACACTAAAAGTGGGGACGTAGACACACCTTCAGCCAGGGGAAAAACTGGAATCTACTGCCCAAGGAAATACGAACAGTGTGAAAACGTCTTAACAGAATTACTGAATAAGGTAACTCACATTTTCTGCGGGGAGGAAACGTGCACAGGGGCTATTAGCCTAATGCAGCTGTGGGCAGTTGAAGGTCCACCCTTACTCCCTTGTAGAAGTGTGTCTGTGTGTTTTACCATATTGTGCAACCCATGTTCTTCCTTTCCATTACAGGACTAACTTGGTTCCCCAGGATTTAGTCTTTCTGGGGGTCTTGTTTTAATTTCACAATGTAAGGTATTTCAGGGGCAGAGACCGTATCTTATTTATTGCTTTTATGAGTCATTTAGTTCATTTTTGGATGCTTGACAGATAACAATGTGTTTGATTGCA